CACGTGCTGGGGGGGGGCGCATTGCGGGAAATGGCCTTGGGGCGGCAGGCAGGGTAGATCCAGTCCTGGTTACTCCCCAGCCCCTGAAAGAATAAATGCAAATCAACATGATACTGGACATAAACAATAATCATCACCATGCGCGGCTCCATAATGCTGCTTTCCACCGACATTACATTGAATCACAAAAAGATACAAAAGTCTATGTGCACTCTGACCCGAGATGACAACAGCCGAGAAGAAAGAACAAAAAGCAGCAAGGGTGTCGCTATGAAATTGTTGCGCCACTTGTCCTTGTCTAATGATTGTTCTCCTGCGTTGTCACCCTGTCCCTACGGTTGCCACCCTTTGTTCAAGTGAAACTCAAACACTCTAGCGCTACACGGCAATTCTTTTTTGGAGGATATACAGGAGAGAGTGAGGAGAGACAGCCGGGAGAGAGAGCGAGGAGAGAGATAGCCAGGGGAGAGTGAAGAGAGACAGCCAGGGGAGAGAGAGAGGAGAGACAGCCAGGAGAGAGAGGGAGGAGAGACGGCCAGGAGAGAGAGCGAGAAGAGACAGCCAGGAGAGAGAGAGCGAGGAGAGACAGCCAGGAGAGAGAGAGAGCAAAGAGGAAAAAGCCAGGAGAGAGAGTGAGGAGAGACAGCCAGAAGATAGAGACTGAGGAGAGGCAGTCAGGGAGAGAGGCAGGAGAAGGAGCAAAGAGGAAAAAGCCAGCAGAGAGAGAGAGAAGAGACAGTAAGGAGAGAGTGAGAGAAGAGACTGCCAGGAGAGAGCGAGAAGAGGAAGCCAGGGGAAAGAGAGGAGAGACAGCCAGGATGAAAAGAGAGGAGAGACAGCCAGTAGAGTGTGCCCTTCAAGAATTATCTACACTCTGTGTTTCAGACACCTCCTTTCTCCCCAAGTTCCAGTGTCCCTCCGTGTCCCGTGCCTCCTCCATGCATTCAAGTTGGAATACCAGGACCCCGTGGTTGCCCCTGTCTGCTTGACATTGTGACATCTTGTGTCTGGGTTTCAGCTGGCCTGGAACACGGACACAGCACATACAGGACTCAAAACCTGGACTGTCCTGTTAAATCCAAGTACAAGTACTTCCCCTCATGTACTTGCCGATACCATTTACCGATACTTTTTCTTAAAGGGACAGGTGACATTTTAAAAAAAAACAATAGACTAATGATTTTAGGCCAATTTCTTTATGATTAGGAAGAACTTTAATTTAAGACTGTTTTAGAACAATAAAACATTTAGCCCCCCACTGAAAATAGTCTGAACTGTGATATTTACACATGAATGGGAGGCGCTATTTACATATGAATAAGCCGCGACTCATTCTCCCCCAAAAAATGTCAGCACCACGCTCGAGTGTGTTCGGGTTTCGCATGGAGAAAAGGTGGCAACCCTACGTCCCTGGTGATGTGGACACTGTGTATTTGCTGTCAGAAGGGTCTACTAGTGGGGTCAGGGCTGTAGCTACCATGGGGCGAGTGAGGCACTCGCCTCAGGCGCAGCTGAGAGAGGGCGTAGCCAGGGCCAGCCTGGCTGCACCCCCTTGCCCCTTTTGCCAAGGTGAGCACAGGGCGCCATTGGCAACAGGGGCGCCAGGCGGCCAACACAGCTGCTGCTCAGCAGGGAGAACAGGAGCGGCACAGGCTCTAGCTTCTCCTCGGATCCCCGTTTCTCTCCCCCACCTGTATGGGCCGAGGACTTTGTGTCCTCAATCTCTTTTTCATGAAGGACTGTGTGTGTGTACGTTGGGGGAGGGGATGTTTTCCCCCGGTGTGGGATTTACAGAGAATGTGTAAAACCTGGTTCACACCTGTACGTTTTGTAGCGCGTTCAACGCTCTACGAACGCTCTACAAAACGCTCAAACATGAAAATCCCATTGTTTTCTATGGGTATGGTTCACACCTTGCCGTATTTCAGCCCGTCTGAACGCTCTACAAAACGGCCTACGCCTGAGAAGGTACAGGAGCTTCTTTGCAGCGTTTTTGTCTCGCGTTTCCATTGGGATACAGCCAAGTAGCCCTCGGAAACGCGCGTTTTTCGCACGGTTTTTTTACCGCGAAACGCGCATATTCAATACGCTTAGGTGTGAACAGGTCCTCCTAACTCCGCCCCTAAGAGGCGGGACCAGCTCATTCTCTGGGACCAGTGACAGCCTCTCCAGCCCTTTCGCACAGCCGCCCGTACATGCTGCAGGTGGCTGTGCGGCAGGGAAGGAGCGGCACGATCGCGGGGAACATGTAAGATGTGTGCAGCCTGTCCGTCCTGCTGTGCTAGAACTCCTGTGTTGGAGGAAACAGGGTCAATAAAGAGAACCTGTCACCTCCAGGGGCTATCACACAGGGGCTTGTTAGCTAGCTCCTGTGTGATAGCAATAGCTCAGCCATTGGGTTACAGTGAGGATGTTTCAGGGAATTTATACACTCTGAGACCCTACGGGGAATGTCCCCTGTGATTGCACAGATGGCTATGGTAACCCGTGTCTGGTAATTACAGTGCAAGTTCCAGACAATGGTCCACCTGTGACCGGGTCTAGTAATAGTGGAATATCTCCTAATTGGCTGAATTGATGGTGCTACCAAATGCCAAAGGAAACCTCTCATTTCTATGACTGTCATGTATACAGAATGTGAATGTGGTCAGCTTGACATACATGACATGGTCTGCACGGCTTGTTCTTCTCATCGTACAAGATACGGCCTGTATATAGGGTTCAGTAAAATAAATTTATAGGTGAGGGTTCGTTTTAATTTATATTTCTATAGTACTTTCCCCCCTGGGGACTCAAAGTGCTTTATCTGCTATTGGGGCAGATGGTGAGGGCGTCGTTTTTGGGTGTGCTCAGTAGAACATCATGCTGGGGCCAATTGTAGACAGGAGCCAAGTGACCTACCAACACGTCTTTGGAGTGTTGGAGGAAAGCACAGGGAGAAGATGCAAAGTCCTGACCAGTGGTCCTTGTGGGCGG